TCGCGTTGCGCGGAGGCTGGCGCGTTCCTCTCGCCTTCGTAGCGTTGCTGGTTTGCAGAGCCAGTCCCGGGAACATCACTGATCCTCGCTGGTGTGAAGTAGGTTACGCCCGCTCCCGAGCAGCGCTTTGCTGCACGGAGAATTCCCACGGCCGCCTGAAATTATTCCACCCCTCCTTTCGAGCTGGGCAACCCGGCCTGTTCTCTGGGCTCCAGCCCCAGCGGAAGGGAGGGAACTCCGGTCCCTTTCCAGGTCATTGTTCTCTCGTCCTATTTTCTCGCTCCTGCTCTGTCACCCATTTCGGCTCTAAAATGCATGCGCTCGGAGGTAGGGTGAAATTCGGTTTGCGTTCTGCAGATGCAGGTCTGAGCCTGGACATCCTAGCAACGCCAGCTGTCGGGCGGTATTCTCCCAGCTGTCTTTATTCGCAGCTCTGCGAGCTGTCTGTTTGCATTTCTTGAGCGCCCATGGATTTGGTTAGGCCTGGGTTTGCAGGAAGCAATGGCTCTGCCGAGGACAGTGAATTGGGTGGGTTTTGCCTGTACATCTCAAGTCACCGACTGCACCTTCCCAGCCCCTACCCCACAACATGTCTTACCCGGGTAGATCAGCTTTTTTGAGGCCTATGGCCTCAGCTCGGCTGATTCCATCCTTTACTCTCTTATTCTTTGAGTGGGTGACCACGTGTCCCTGCATGGTTAGTTGGGTGACTTCAAGTTGCTCAAAACTTGTGGTTATCTGTGCGTGTAACCAATTTTGATTTAATATTTCCTGCTTTCTTAGAGGAAAGGTAACTGCCACGCCCACTCTTCGATCAGAGGGGAGATGTCCGTGTGTCATGGACATTCCCAAGGCCCACAAGCCAAAATAAGTTCAAGATGTTCCCAGTGATGCGACTGTGCTCGGCGTGTGCGATGCCTCACGTCTGTGGCCCTCTGTACTCGGCTTTAACCCTCAAAATCACCGCGCGAGCCGTGGGCCTGCAATCTTTGCATTGCAAATCATGCGGTTTAGGAAAGTGAACTAGAGGTTTTCGCACCCAACCCCGATACTGCTGTTTAATATTTCTGCCGGCCTCGCTTGTGCATAACGCTGCTTTTTTGGAAAGAAAGGGGAGGACAGGCAGAGAGAGCCTGTAAATGATGGAGTGTAAGTGAGCCTATTCATTGGGAGCTAGCTTATGACCTCCTCCTATTTGATTATGACGGTCAGTGGAAATTAAGCATGGACTTCGCTTCCTGCTCCACTCTGTCTCCTCTCTGCTGCCTCGCCTGTTTCTGATTCCCCATTTTGGAAGACGTTTGAGCCATGCATATTTAGAATAACTGCTTTGAATTCACATTATTGCCCAAGCAGGGTGTGTTAGGAGCTGCTGTGGCTGCACATTAGTCTTTTCTCTTTGCCCATCACGCCACTTTAATAAAGCGCTGAAGTGTGTACTGATGGCACTTCCTTAATGCCTTCGATCTCAAAACAGCTTGCCTTACATTCTGACTTGCCGCTGCCATGAGATCAGTAGCTATATGATCTACCTAATTTAACAGGTAGGGAGACTGAGACGTAAAGGAGCGATGTGTCACAGGGAAGATGGCTGTTCCGGACCGGGTACCAGAGTCCAGACTGTGAACACTGTGTCCTGCGCGGTCTCCTGTGAGCACAGAACCCATTTAAGATTTTGTTTCGCCTGTGGTTACTGTGTCCTGAGCATGCCATCAAAGTGTTGGCACGTTATTTTTTAAATCTGGAAACCTTATAGCTCTGAAAACCTGAAATTACAGCTTATACCTGTTTGACATGCTAATGTCTTCTAAAGTGTGGGAAGCATCAATCCTTCCTCCTCTTAAGGCTGCCAAGTACCAATCTGTGCCCTTCCGAGGTAGCAGAGAACTTAGTACACTGATATTTGCCTCCCCTTTCTTTAAATTCGATTGTTGCCTTCTGTATCATGTGGGAAGATGATACATTCCTCTTTTTATGTGGCATGTGGCTTCTCTCTGTCACACCAACATGCACTTTCCTCTCAATGGACACAAATTCAATGCAGAGAGAGTTGGTTTATTTATGTCACCTGCCTGTCCAGCCTAACGGGCTTGATGGCGCTCGCTGTTCTGCGTAAGTGAGGGGTGTTCTAGTGCCAATATTTCCATTATAGAGATAAGGTGAGCAAAGGGGTGTAAGAAACAGGCATTACTTAAAAGCTGAAATCTCATCGTGCATCTCAAGGAGCAGAGAACTGAGTCTCGCTGCACTTCCAGAACTCTACTAATACCTCTCAGAAGCTTCCTCTGCACAGTTTAGTGCTAACAGTGAACTTGTGTGTATATGGCTGTCTGATGACTTAGGTTTTTGTTTCCTCATCTGACTGTATCAGATTGTCTAAGGCTTTACCTTTTGGAAGGACTGTGTGGGTGTCTTGTAGTCACACAGCTCATGTGCAGGGTTGGGAAGGGCAGATTTCATTGGTGGTTATGTGTAATACAGAGCTGTTAATGCAAATTGCAGAGTTTTAAGTTTCTGTTGCTTTGACTTAAGGGATAAAAATTTGTGGAAGTATAAAGAGGATTGCTTTCCTTAAATGAGGAAACCTTTTTTTGACGCTAGAAGGTTGTGGGGAAAACTGAAGCAATGTGACCATGTTGGTTACTTGACCTGGTTTGGACAGTGCTTCCGAAGGTGAATGCTCTTCCCTCATCGGTGTTCACATGGCCATTAATGTGTTATCCAGGGGCTGGTGGAACAGTTGACTCAACTGCCTCCCCACATACTTTGTAGTCATGCACTGCATACTCACTTTGTGCAGAATCAGTGAGGATCTTCACTGTTACTTATTCCCTGATGTGAATCAAGACCACTCAAACTCTGTGTTGGCAAAGGATAAGTTGGAAGCCTCCTAGCCCTTCGTTTTTGCTCTGTCACTGTTTGCTGTTCCAGAGAAGCAGTGGTGTTTTTTCCTCTCTTTACAGTGGCAATGCCTTTGGCCTGGAATATTGTGTAGAAAATTATTGGAAGGGATTGTGTGAGCTGCTGGCTCCTCTTCTCAAACAGTCTGAACGTAATTAATATTGATAATAAGTAACCCATGTCATTCTAGGGCAAGCAGAGTTCCTGATTCATTGTAGTAGGTGAGGCTGTGCAGACCTCTTATTTCAGGGAGGAAAGTTCTGGCCTGCATCTGGCTCTGATGGAGAGCAGTGAACAAGTGCAGTACGTTGCAGCCACAGGCTCCCCTTGTAGGTTCTCTGAATAGTGGTGAAGGAAGTAGTGATCTGGATGAGAGTTGCTTGTAGCTGTGAAATCTCCTGACTTTCCTCATTTTGTCATGTGGGATTAAGCATCACTGCTTAACCTGGACTTATGTCTTCCTAGAACTCTACTATGACCGAGGAAACCACCATGAGTTCGTGTCTCTGGTGAAAGACCTGGCCCGTCCTGGTGAATTCACTCAATCGCAGACATTTGACTTCGAATTCACACACGTGGAAAAACCTTACGAGTCCTACACGGGGCAGAATGTGAAGTTACGGTGAGTCTCCTCCCTTTGCTGACCCCAGTTCTTGGCTCTGTGCAGTGTGCAAGTACTGATATTTACTGTGATGATACTGGTGTGCAGTGTCCCTTCCCAGACATCCTTGCAAACTTATAATGTAACTCCAAATGGATTCTGGTGGGCTGAGTTGTAAAAGGCTATCTTTGAGGGCTCTACTTCTGTAAGCATGCATCAGGCTTTATGGAATTTGTTTTGCCCTATTTAAGTGACAAGAGAAATCAGCCCCTTCTCAATCAACCAAATACTGTCTAATTTAGTTGGTAATTCAAAAAGCAAAAGAAATTTTTTGTTTTAGTCTCCAATGGGGGCATTTTTCCTGTCTTGTAATCAGTCTTGTCAACTTTAATTGTGCTCTATATGGAAACAGATGCCTAGCTTGTATCTTGTTCATTTGTTGCAAACTGTATTTCACATCTAGGCACTCCAGTTGACTTGAAATCCAGTCACTGGCTTCAAAGGGGGGGTTGGAAAATTCTGAGATCTGCAGAAAGAGGTGTGTCTGTGGAGACCGGTGTGATATAATCTCTTGCAAAAGGGCAGTGGTTTTAACATGTGCAAGCTGTTACTCAGATCCCCAAAATGGTGCTTAGGTAACTCAGGCTCACAAATGCATGAAAGCTTAGAAGCTTAGAGAAGTCTTAGAAGAGTCTGCTTTTCCATTTGAAAGTTCCCTTCTGTCTTTTCCAACGTGGGGTATTGGCTGCTCCAGAAGCCAGGGAACCGGTAAGGCTACTTGGATAGCCCAGTGCGATCCATTCAGCCCCACGTGCCTCTCTGCTTCGTCTCTGTTGCTACCTGTACAACCCTAATAGGAGGGTGACTCTCCTTGCAGGTATTTCCTCCGAGCGACTGTCAGCCGCAGACTGAACGACGTGGTGAAGGAGATGGACATAGTTGTGCACACTCTGAGCACCTACCCGGAGCTCAACTCCTCTATTAAGATGGAGGTGGGGATTGAGGATTGCCTGCACATTGAGTTCGAGTATAATAAGTCCAAGTAAGTGTCTCAAGAGCAGCCAGTGGCTGTGGGGAACCATCTGCTACAGTGGACAGCTTGGTTTGGAAGCCCGAGGCATGTGTCTTGCATGTGATCCTCGAAGGGATTCTTTGTTCATGCGCTCCAGCAAGGCTGGCAGACTGTTAAGATCCTGGTTGAGGATCTTTGGGTTCCTCTCCTTGCCCATAGATGTGCTCTCTGGACCAATGAGTGGGAAGCAATGGCTGTGGCTTACTGAGCTTGGAGCACAGCGTGAGGCTGATCAGTATTTCCAGGTGTCTTCAAAGTATAACGCCTGCTCTTTACCAGACAAAACAGCTGAAGTGGGACCTAATTCAGGCACAGAAGTTGGAAACAACTCTTTTAAACTATTTTTAATGCATCTTTCCCAGCTGATGCTAGCAAATTTCCCTGCAGTGTAACGTTTGGGTTAGTTTTACTTGACCTAAAAAATTGGTTTGGGAGGCTTTGCTGTCACAGGGGTTTCTTGCAGATATTCAGCCTGAAATTCTGTTTTTAATTTATCTGATCATGCTAAATGTTCTTGTCGATTTCCAAAAGTCGGGAGGATGAAAGATGAAGTGCTGTTTACAGCAGTGGAGGTGGTTGATATGCCATGTGAAATTTACAGCTGGGGCTGCGGATAAGGGCAAAGTGCCTGACAAGCAAGTTCTCGCTCTTCAGTCTGGGTCCTGGTCTGCTGCACAGTGTTTGATTGTGGTGCTTTCTTCCTTTATGTGCTAGGTATCATTTAAAAGATGTGATTGTCGGAAAGATCTACTTCCTGCTGGTGCGAATCAAGATCAAACACATGGAGATAGATATCATCAAGAGAGAAACAACAGGGACCGGACCCAACGTGTATCATGAGAATGACACAATAGCTAAATATGAGATCATGGATGGGGCACCTGTGAGAGGTGAGAAAGCAGATGAACCCTTCAGAATTCCTCTTCTGAAGTCTTTTGGGGTTGGAACATGAGTCCTGCAGTATCTTCAGCTGCATCTGTGTGCTCAGTAGTAGTATGCATCCTATTTCACTGGTGGACTCACGGCAGTGTACATAGGTGATTAAATATGATCCCTTCTCTGGTATGATGAGGGGAAATTGAGGCATAATGAGTTGCAATGACTTAAGTCTTTTGATGAAGCAGTGGCAGAACCAGGAATAGATGTAAATTCGCTGTTGGCATGGGCCACTGGCTGGCATTGCTGCAACTTGGAGCAGAAAGATGGTGTTCTAGCTCTGTGCCAATCTCCTGTGCCACTTGTTTTCCAGTTCCATTGCCCAGCAGAGTCACCTGCCAGAGAAAAAGTCACCTTACTCATTTTTTCCTGCGGTGCTGTCTTGAAGCAGGTCACAAATGAGTCCTGTGCTGTTAAAGTGGAGATGGAATAGCTGTCAGCAAGGGCAGGATCTGGCTATGGACCATGCATGCTGATTTTTGAAGGGAGTTGAGGTCTTTTAGCTCATCTTACTCCACTTGTGGAAATAGTCACAAGTTTGTAGCCTAGTGAGATTCTGTTTTGCTGGTGCTCTCCTAGTTCATATCTGTGCGTTCTGTCTGTGCTGATGGTTCTGTGCGCTTTGCAGGGGAGTCCATTCCCATCAGACTTTTTCTGGCTGGCTATGAGCTGACTCCAACGATGAGGGACATCAATAAGAAGTTCTCGGTGCGTTATTACCTCAATCTGGTGCTGATCGATGAGGAAGAGAGACGCTACTTTAAACAGCAGGTGAGAAACAGAGCTGTTAGTTCTTCTTGGACCTGTAGACTGCGATACTATGTTATAAGGACCTTCTGGGAATTTGGGATTCCCATGGGGGAGAATCATATTCTTTACTGAGTATCTGTAAGGACCAGACAAATTAGAGAGTGCAAAGAGGGTCTAAAAGGAATGGTCCACGCAGGTCAGATCTGCGTGGTGGTAGGGATGCATGTAGAAGGTGCCCACCTGGGACTTCTTTCCTCTCTGTTGCCCTGTGGTGGAGCTTCTGTGCTTCACCTTATCAATTGCAATGTGGTGGCCAATGGCAATAGGACAGAGCTGCCCTAGACATCCAGTGGGTTGCCTCTCTGTGCTCAGATCCTGGGGAGGAGCGCTCTACCCAAATTTTCAGGAAGGTTGCATTGCGAGGCCTCTGCTTGCCACTGCAAGTGGCCTCATGTGCATGACTGTGGGTGGAACATGCCCTCATGGGCTGAGTTCTCACTGGGTGCAAGCTGCTTACCTGGCAGCTTGGTTCAGCCTTTGGGTCTGGGTGGGGCCAGAAGAAGGTCTCACAAGCCCTGACGAGCCATGCTGGCTGTGTTACTACAGGAGGTGGTGCTTTGGCGGAAAGGAGACATAGTGAGGAAGAGCATGTCCCACCAAGCAGCCATCGCCTCCCAGCGGTTTGAGGGGACATCCTCACACACCGAGGCCAAGACCCCCAGCCAGCCTGCAGAGAACAACGGCCGGCAGTGAGAGGCCACGCAGAGGAAGGCTGCTCTGGAGCCCGTGGGGACAGCAGCAAGGAGGAAGAAAAAACACTTCAGAGACTTCATGAAAATAAATATCCGTTTTTGACTTAATTCCTTTCTTCAAAGGACTCATAGGGTGGGAAGGGGATGGGAGGGCAAGGCAAGCTGGAGCACTGGTGGTGCAGGGTTGAAGGTACCTCAGTGCTTCCCAATCAACTACCTTCCTCTGGGTTTGGGTGCTTTGAGGCATGTGTCCAGAGGCTGCGGAGCTGCCTGATCTCCTCTTTGCCCCGAGACCCTTTCAGTGTGGCAGCGGGGAGGGAGAGAGCAAGTGAAGGCCAAATCTGCTGCTTCTTCCCAGCGGTGTGGAGGTTGCTTTGGGGCTGTGTAGGATGGATATTTTTCTTGCCTTTCTGAAATCTTCACGAGGGAAAAATGACACAGTGATTAGCTGGAAGGTAGAGGAGGGAGTCAGAGGCTGAGGTGCGGCCTACTTGATATTGCTTAGTGTTATCGCCTCGCTGCCTCCCCTTCCTCTTCATGCTGGCGTTGGATTCCTTGTCACAAAGAGTTATATAATGTAGTTGAGTCAGCCCTGGGACTGCCACGCAGCCGCGTGGAGCACGGGCAGCAGGCGTGCTGTTGTGTTCTTGCTGTGGAGCTCCTGACTGCCGTGTTGCATCAAGGGGGAGCTGTGGCTGGTAGGAGGGAGTGAGGCATGCGAAGGTAGTAGGAGGTGGCAGAGCGGTGAAGGTCCCAGTGCTGCTGGGTGGGCAAGAATTGGGGGCAGGAAGGCTCCTGGCCGAGAGCAGTGCCTTCCTAGTCTTGTCCCGGCAGCTGCCTGAGTGCCCCTGAGATTCAGTCTCTCTGGTTGCTGCACTCATACGGGTCCCAGTTGCTGCTGTAGAGCAGGGGCAGACCAGCCTTGAGAGGTCTAGAGAATAGTTTTGGAATGTGAGAAATAAATGGGGGCTCTCTTGGGAGCAGGCTTACGCCGCACACGCTGCCCTGCTTGTATCTGTGTCCTTGTGACAGAGCAGGCTTTGTAGTAGGGACAGATGGCAGTATAGAAACACGTGCATACTGTTTTGTTTGCTCCCTCGCGCCTGCGGGATGAGGATTAGTAAGGACAGAAAGTGGATGCAATTGTTTTAAGAAGCTCATGGCCTATGTGTGCTGCTAGATGAAGCCAGGCAGCAACTGGAAGGATGGTGGAGCTCTCTGATTCCAGAGACACATTCCTGAGGCCTGAGCTGAAATCACCAGTGAGGTCTGAGGGTATGCCATGAACTGAGAATCTGAATGCGGGTTTTGTCTTTTCTAAAATAAGCTTCTTTTAGTCTTCAGCTAAGTAGAATCATGAGAACGTTCCCAGAAGGGAATCACTCCTCCTTTAAAAATTAGATGTGGCTTTGTAGAAGTTTGATTGACTGAGTCTGGAGAATATCCATCCTGTTTAGATGCCCTTCAAGGAAGCAGGTGGTTGGACCTCCTACCAGATGGAGAGACAAGCCTGCACTAAATGCTGGGATATGAGCTCTATCAAGTGGGATTTGGCTGGATTTCCCTGTGAGTTTGTGGCTCGCTAGGGTTTTGTCCAGCTTCCTTTTGACTCTGGAATGAATCTCCTCTGCCTCTGTCCTACAGCTGAATGTAGAACAGTTGTCTTGCAGCCGGGAAATGGAAGTATCTTCTGCTTTGTTTAGTGGAACAGTGCTGGTGGAGGGAATGGGGCCTGGGTGGGAAGGGGAGCTTTTTATGTAATAAGACAGCTACTGTATTTCAGTGATAAATGTGTGTTTCTGCTTGCCAAAGTAAGTTATCTTTTACTCACCACGTGTAAGGTTGTGGTTTTTAGTAGAGCTGGACAGTCTCGCTCTGTTGTAAAGGACACTAATGATCTCATCTATGCTGAATGCTCGTGTCACACCATGTTTCTGCTCTGTAATAGTGAAGACGTGGCTTGCTTTTCTTTACATGAGAAGTCTGTGCCATGGGCTGGAGCCGTGTCTTCCTAAGACTGAAGCAAAAGCTTACTTTAGACAACTACCTTGCTATGCCAGGGTGAGGGGTGGTAACCTGCTGCAGGTCTTGCATGGCAAAGGAATCTGGATGTTACTTTTGACACTCACTCTACTCGCCCTTCTGTGTAGGGGGAACCACCTGTGCTGTGGCAATACACAATCTTGTAGAGACAAGTAAAGCTCCCACTGGGAGCCTCTGGGGATAGCAGACTATCTTTCCATGGCTAAACTGAGCACAGCAGCACCCTAACCGCCCTATAGCTCTCCCTCAACTCCCATCCCACCTAGAATTTTTTTCCTTGCCTATTCTTGATTGTAGGCCATGTGGTATTAAAGAAACCCCATGGATGAAGATGTCTCTGCATTCCAGGAGTGTTTTGTTTACTGGCTGAACACCATCAGTACTGGATGTTAGACAATTGTCTGACAAGACAATGCACTGTAAGGAGATTTCTATTAAACTTCTGTTCATCACTTCTGGTGGGGTTATTTGGAAAAGGTGCATGAGCCTATACATTGGGTTGGTTTGGGGTTGTTTGGGTTTTTTTTCCTACTTTGTGGCCCTCTCCCATGTGTCCTTACTTGTGGAACCAGAATTTAGAAATGATCCCCATTTTTACTTAATCCGAATGGACCATTCAACCTGTTAGCCACTAGGCCCTCTGTTTTTCTGGGGTGGAGCAGATGTGCTGAGCATCTTTAGAGAGAAGTTGAAGCATAAGGTCACTCCAGGACAAGGTACTTAAGAAAAGCGTTTCATTTGCATAGTAAGGGGCAGACACTACTCGAGCAGTCGTGTCCCCCTGAGCTGGTTCTGTTCCGTACTTGGGTCATTCCCTCTCTCCCAGGCAGAGTCAGGCAGAGGGGAGTGTGCAAGTACTAAACCAAGCAGTGCAACCTGTAATTAAGCCTCTGCTGTGTTTACATGTTTCTTAATTCGTTGTCTTTTCAATGGCTGTATTTTAAAACTTGGGTTTTTTGTCTCCAATTAAAAAGAGCCAGCCCTGGCTGTCAAATGCTGTGCATGAGTTTGTCTGATATGGTTTATATTGCCCGGCCCAGGTCTGGTTTTGTTTGGGGTTTTTGTTACGATATTAAGACACTTTTTTTTTAGTGCCATACTGTGCAGCCCTCCCAACAAGCTCAAGGAGTTTGTCCTTCATTATATGTATAAATTCTTCGTCTGTCTTTAAGCTGTCACTGCTTAGAAGCTGTGCTGGTGGAGGACCCATGTAGCTTAAAAATTAGCAAGCTAACTTTTTCTTCTATTTCCCTGATGTCAGTACTAAAATAACATGGGAAGTTTTGTATCTACAGGAACTTAACTGCGATCTGCTTTGCAGCAATCAGCTGGATGTGTATATACATCTAAATTTTCTTGTTCTAGACAGAAGCTTAGTGATACCTTTCTGCACAAAAATGTTCCTCTGCAGTGCATGGAACTGCACTGGATCCTGTAGTAAACATCCTCACAGAAGATGCATTTGTTTTGTCCTTCAAGACATAAATTGCAGATTTTTCCACTATTAAAAATCGAGCAGCTGCAATTGATTCTAAAAGGCTTTATTTAAAAATAAGCAAAAATAACAGTGTGTCAGAATAAGGGACATGTAGCTGCGAATCATGTGCGGGCACGTTCTTGTTGCTGTGATTGAGCAAGTAAACTTGAGAATTACGCTGGTTTAGGAGGAGGCGTCAGCGGGCTGGGTAGAAGCTGTGCTGCTGTCAGTTTCTTAATGTGGCTTTTCCTCTTCCAGGCTCAAGACAAAATCAAATTCCTCTGCATTGAAAAGGTAAGGAAGAAAAAGCCATCAGTGGAACTTCCAAGTTCTCTGAGTGAGGGCTGCCTCTCAGAGGGAATGGCACCAAGAGTCCAGAGAAGAAGGTTCTTACCTTGTGTCAGTGGTTGGATGGAAAGACGTTGTCTTGTGAAGAGCATCATGTTCTTTAGGGGGCCTCCATCTGCTTTATGTGCCAGGTGGTGAGCCTTGATTTCAGAAAGGGGGATGAAACGTTTTGTCATCCGCACAAACTGGACATCCACCTGGGAAGTGATGGGCAGCAAAGGTGCATGGTTGGAGAAGGATATAGCCTCCAGAGGTCACATAAGATCTTTCGGGGGGGATAAAGATTTTAACCTGAATCAAATGACTGATGCATACTATCTCATAATGGCATGGAAGCTTTTCCTTGCTCAAGGCTAAAATAACTTTCAGATACTTCTGGCAGGTGATCTGTTTACATGAATCTTGGCACTGTGCACTAGCAACGTACACTCATGTCACAGACAATACAAAATTAAGATGCGGGATGTAGCCAGCCTGTGAACAGTTACTTTCCTATAATTTAGTGTGCCTCAAAACTACAGCTTTGTTTGCTGTAGACTGAGAGCGGTACTTAAAGATACTGTTTCTCTTTCCTAACCCAGAATTCTGCCATGCACGGAGGTCAGCTCTGCATCCAAGTAAGATTTGAAAATTTAGGGAGATACATTTTGGCAGCCTTCTGGAAGAGAGAGAGGAAAAGGTAGAGAAAACAATCAGGATTGCATTTTCTCTTGAGAGAGAAAAAGTTAGCTAGGCCAGGACAGAAGCTTAAGAAGATATGCAATATGATGATAAGAGGCTTCTAACTTCACTCAGCTTGCACACAGAGCTTGAAACAGCTGTATTTAGTTTACTACATTACCATGGACCATTTGGGGTTCTCTCTTCTGCTGGAGGAATCATAATGAGGATCCTTCTGATCAAACTGTGTGTGATCAGGGTATGCCTCCTTTACGATCTGAAGCAGAAGGGGAAAAGAATGTGAGATAAGTTCCCATCAGTTAAAAACTATTGTCAGCAAAGGGTGTAAAATGCCCTTGAGAAAGCTATGACTAGACATAAGGAATAATCCTGGTGCAAAAATCAGCCTTGCTTTCCCTGAACTCCATTCTAATGGTGGAATATGTTTCCTTACTTTACATATCTTGGGTCGAAGCACTGCAGAACAGTATGGCTGTCAATGAAGCATCATCACCTCTTCGGAGAGCAATGTGGAAGGAGCACACGCAACAGAGGAAAACTGGGTAGA